CAGCTGTGAAGATGGCGATGATGATGATGATGATGACGACGATAATACCAACTGTGCAGATATTAATCCATCAACAAAGCTCAATATGAAGAGGAAGCAGTTAAAGATTATTCGATATCGTAGATACAAACTTCAACAAGACGAACATAATTATTTTCGAGAACAAGTATTATTGTTTTATCCTTGGAGGAATGAAGAGGATGAAATAGAAAATTCTGATTGTCGAAGCTTGTATCATAAGAACATCGAAATAATTGAAAAGAATCGAAAGAAATACTCTATTATCGGTGATGAGGTAATCGATGAGGCTCTAGAACAAGCGATGGAAGACAATAAAAACAGACATCGCGAAGAAGATATCGACTTTAATAAACATAGAGTTCCCAAAGAGCAAGAAGCTGATATCTTCAATCAATCAGGAGTAGAAAATATTGCAAAGAGAATGAAAACACGTTTTACGAAACCACCAACAATAACAAAGGAAGAAATGTTTCTCTTGTTGGATACACTGAATACTTTACAACGACAAATCGTTATCCATATCCTGAAATGTTTCAAAACTGATGACCTACCCTTAAGACTATTTATCAGTGGGTCAGCAGGAGTAGGAAAAACTAGAGTCATTAATTGTATCTATCAGTTACTGTCTCAGTATTTCGGTGAAATTCCGGGAGAGAAGAATGACTTACCATTGATTTTATTATGTGCGCCAAGTGGAAAAGCTGCTCATCTGATTGGGGGCGTCACATTGCATACTGCTTTCGCATTACCGATCACAGAATATGGGGGACAGATGCCAGAATTATCGGCGGATGTAGCAAATACAATTCGATCAAACTTAGTAGACTTACAACTTTTAATCATCGATGAAATTTCTATGGTTGGAGCGAACATGCTAACGCGAGTAGATACCCGATTGAGGCAAATTATGGGTAAAAATGTCTCATTTGGAGGAATCTCTGTCATTCTCATAGGCGATTTGCATCAGTTGCCACCGGTAAAAGACAAACCCATATATTCTCCGCCTAATTCTGGACCTCTATCCGCTCTCTCAGATATACTGTTGTGGGAAGAATTCAAATTCTTTGAATTAACAGAAGTGATGAGGCAAAAAGATGACAAAATATTCGTTGACGCTCTGAATAATTTAGCTCGTGGAAAGATGACCGATGAGGACGTATCTCTCATTCGAAATAGAGAAGTATCAGAAGGAGAAGTGCCCAAAGATGCTATCCGATTATATTATGAAAATCAGCATGTTGATCGTTATAATAACTCAAAAATCAATAGCCATCCAGGGCAATGTTATCAAGCTATTGCTGACGATCAGTTTTTGGGTAGTGCATCAGATAAATACAAAAGAAAAATGCTCAATTCAGTCAAAACAAATCACAGTCAGAAGAAAGAGCTGAGAATGTTACAGTACAAAATCAAACTCAAGTATGGAATAAAGTACATGATAACATCTAATGTAAATATTTTGGATGGTCTCGTAAATGGTTCGTGTGGAGTATTAGAACATATAACGTTTTCTTCAGGCTCAGAAGTTCCGGAAAAGGTATGGATCAATTTCAATAATCCAAATATTGGTTTAAACCAACAAAAACCGTTCTTACGTTATATGATGGAACATAATATCGATGAGAGTTTGATACCCATTTCTAGAATGAGTCTGCAGATTTCTGGAAGTAGAGACAATCACTATCAAGTTATGAGAGCACAATTTCCAATCGTTCCAGCAGAGGCTATGACTATCCATAAAAGTCAAGGACAGACATACAGCAACGTTTGTATAGACTTGACGTTTGGTAGCCGGTTAACTAGAGCGTTGCTGTATGTAGCCCTTAGCAGAGTGTGCAGTTTGAGTAATCTTTATATTTTAGGGATCTTCAAACCACCGAAAGCTCCGGATGTCAATGATCCCATTATCTGCGAATACAAAAAACTAGATGAAAGACGATTGAAACTATCTTACACAAACTTAATCGACACGAATGATATAAAAATTATTTATCAGAATGTGCGATCATTCAATAAAAATGTCGAGCACATTCAAAGTGACGTTTGGTATGCGCAAGCAGATTTTCTAATTTTCTCTGAATCTTTCACAAAATTCGATGATCATATAAACTTGGAAAATTTCATTCTGATCTTTCGCACTGATTCGACGACAAGAATGCAATCCCGAGGTATATTGATATTCATGAAACATAATGCAAATATCAAATATTCCGTAATGAAACACATACAATTGGAGGATGACAAAAGAACCCATCTCGATTTAATTCTTATGAGATGCAATGACGTCGAAATTATAACTGGGTATAAATCCCCGTCATTCAAAAACTCCTCATTTTATAAACATTTGACGAATCTGTTCAGAATGATGACCACAAACTCCAGACAAATTTTGATTGGTGATTTTAATATTGATCTCTTTCATCCGGAAAAGCATCTTCCAGAAACATTGATCAACTATAAATTCAGGCGTGCAATACCACCCAAAACTTCTACAACAAATTTCAACACACAAATCGATATTTTACTTGTCAATAACATCACGCATTATCTCTCAGGAGTGTATGAAACGTACTTCTCTGATCACAAACCAATATTTATTGGACTGCATAATTCAAATATCAACGGCATATCTAGTCACCAGCAAAATGTTGATGATACCACCAATGTCGACAATAATAAAAACACAATAACTGATTCAATTTCAAAAACACCTCAAG